ATCTAAACTGGTGATTCGGCTGATGTGTCCCACTAAAGGGCCTGGTCCTACAGTTCTCTGATCTCAGGCCCCAGTTCGAATTTAGCCTTCGTGTGATACTATCAAAGATCGCTGCTACTCCCAACTTGGGACTTGCCAAGTGGGTTCCAGAACCTTCTAGTTCCTCGGTGTTACCAACACTGCCAAGACATCCTATATCCACTCGGCAGTATGCAGATGCCCCAGCAGTAACAACTTTCCAATACAGGGTATTGGTGTGACCTGAGGTTACAAATTAATCTAAGCCCCAACTTTAACGAAGATCCGTTACTGTAATGCAAGCCTATTTTCCAAACTTTCGTCGTCAGTGGGATTTGAACCCTAGACCTGCCACTTGGAAAGGGTGACGACTTGACTACTTCACTAAGCCGCCACACCTCTTATCCTTCCAAATTTCTCTCTACATTGACAAAATAACTCATTCATTTTATCCTCAATCAAATCTGGTGCCATATATACATAATTTTCTTGTGCTGCTATAATGTGTCGCGTTCTATATTGACCTGCATTACTAATTAATTCATTTCCAATTTGTCTATGCAACTGCTGTGCAAACGAAGGTGTAAACCAATTTATTAGAAGATCAGGAAAGAGGATTGATGGGAAAATATCAATAATTGTATCGTGGATATTTTTCACTTTCCTATTCAAACGTAAAGACCTTTCGAGTATGAAGCAAGATGCAAAAATTTTTCTGCATAGCTGGCTCAAAAACAATCTAAGAATACCAGGTTTTTTAAAAGCCTGTCGTATAAAGTCAATAGTAAGGTCAACATTACTTTCTGCAGAAATACATTCGAGCAGATAATGTTCACGATGAAGGTCAATATATCCCTTCCAAAAAAGCGTGTCACTTTCGTTAATAGCTAATAATATGGCATGTTGGTGGTGCTTGGCACTTAAGACAAAATAATTAGCATCGCGTTCATCATAAGAGGGCTTCCACCAGGGTTTATCCAAAAAGTCAAATTTTGAATATATTAT